TGAAGCTCATTCACATACCTCTGGACAAGAAGACCATGAAAGTGGATGTGAAGGTACTGCTGTCTGGTTTGTCCACAGCAGACAGGCACATTTTTGTGAATATTGACCAGCTTGATGTTCACCTAATTTTAATGACTACTTTTTTTGGTCATAGGCAATGAGGAGGGCCATTTCTAGAAACACAGCGATGCTGGTGTGTTCAGCTCCTCAGTTCCCCCATGGAATTATGGACCCTGTAGTGGAAGTGGCAAAGGTAACATTTGCTTATTCAGATGGGCATGTAATTCAGTACTTTTGTATTGTGGTATACATTAATCTGTAGTGTATTCTTTATCTTAAATATAATTAAATGTTTTTTTTTATTATTTTAGCTTGCAGTAAAATACAACATCCCATTCCATGTGGATGCATGCTTGGGTGGGTTCCTAATAATTTTTATGGAAGAGGCGGGTTTCAAACTTGATCCCTTTGATTTCCGGGTCAAAGGCGTGACCAGTATCTCAGCTGATACACATAAGGTGAGAACTTGATAGTAAGAGAAATTAATGAATACAAAATAAATACTGGTAATATGTTTGGGATCAGTAAGATTGAAAAAATAATAAGAATAATAATTTAACACTGCTGTTATTTTGAAAAATGTATTACCATTTCCACAAAAATAAACTGTTTTCAGCTGTAAACAACAGCCTATTAGAATGATTTCTGAAAGAGCATGTGACACTGAAGACTGGAGTAATGGCTGCTGAAAATTAAGCTTTGCCATCACTGCATAAAGTAAATTTTTTATATATATTAAAATAAAAGCCAATTATTTTAAGTTGTAATAATATTTCACTATATTACTGTTTTTTCTGTATTTTTGATCAAATGAATGCAGCCTTGGTGAGTGTAAGAGACTTCTTTCAAAAACATTAAAATCTTACCCCAAGCTTTTGAACAGTAGTATTTTTTTTTCATGTTATTGTCATGAATTAAAATGTTTATGCAAATGATCTCTGACAGAACTACAACTGTTTTTATTGTTATCTGTCCAGATATCGTCATGATGAAGATTAAAGTTAAATTCAAAGTTGATTTAATTATAAAATCAGTGTCTTTGTCCCCACAGTATGGTTATGCTCCCAAAGGCTCCTCAGTGGTGCTCTACAGTGACAAGAAATTTCGCCACTACCAGTATTTCGTAGCTCCTGATTGGCAGGGAGGAATTTACGCGTCTCCGTCCATGGCTGGCTCTCGGCCTGGAGGCATAATTGCTGCCTGTTGGGCTACTATGATGCACATGGGTGAGAATGGATATGTTGAGGCCACCAGGAAAGTCGTTGGGACAGCCCGCAAAATCAAAGCAGGGTCAGTATTAATACCATTTGTAGTATAATACATGAAAGACATGAACGACACAGGCAAGGTGTTGCTTTGAATGTATATCAACTGTGGTAAATGTAAATGTGCATGACAAGTAACATTTACATGCCAGGAAAGGCCCTGTACACAGAAACAACATCTTTAAAAAAACAAACAAAAAAAAACTCTCTTCCCACAGAATCCGTAAAATAGGTGGGGTGTTTGTATTCGGGGATCCAGAAGTGTCTGTGGTGGCTCTAGGCTCTGATGTTTTTGATATCTTTCGCTTATCTAATGCACTGACTTCAAAGGGCTGGAATCTCAACACTCTGCAGTTCCCATCCAGGTATGGTTAAAAACAAAATGTTCAATGTGAAATGTGCAGGTTATGCAAGCTAATGTAATATCCCTAAAACAGAATGAAGTTAGTCAGGTTAGGAAAAATACACACAGATCATTATTTATTATTGTTTTTATGTAAAGGCCTCAGTGCATCAATTTTCATCAGAAAAGTGGCTCCTCATTGTTTGTGGCTTTGTTGTTCTCTTTCAGCATCCATATTTGTGTCACAATGCTACACACACAGCCTGGTGTAGCTGAGCAGTTCATCAGTGATGTGAAGAGAGAAGTAGCCATCATCATGAAGAATCCTAAAGAGAAGACCACGGGGATGGTGCGTTTCCTTTTTATTTGATCAAAAATACAGTAAAGATGGTAATTGAGAAATATTATTACAATTTAAAATAACTGTTTTATTATATTTTAAAAAGTAATTTATTCCTGTGATGGAAAAGCTGAATTGTCAGCAGCCATTACTCCAGTCTTCAGTGTCTTTTGACTCTTCAGAAATCATTCTAACATGCTGATTTGGTGCTCAACAAACATTTCTTTGTATTATCAATGTAATAAAAAATGTGCTGCTTCATATTTTGGTGGAAACCGATAATTTTTTAGGATACTTTCATGAATAGAACGTTTAAATATAAAGGTCTTTACTGTCACTTTTGATCAGTTTAATATTTCCATACCTGGAAAAATCTTACCCCATACTGTTGTATTTCTACATGTTGACAAAATTAACTTCTAAAAGATACATGCATTTAAACAGATTTTTGTCTAACCAAATTCTGTCTATAATTGTCATAAAAAAAACTAAAAGGTACGGCTGCTTTGGTATGTCTCGGTTGAACTTCACATTTTGAGATTTATATAGTCATATTTTCAGACAAAATAATCATTGTCCGTAAGAACGCAGATGAGTAAATTCCTCACTTGGCACTCCAGTCCACTTCAGTCTATTTGTACATGTATAATCTCATCTGATAAACCATAATGAATAAATAACCCTGATTTAACTTTTCCCCCTTTATGTTGTAGGGAGCAATCTATGGCATGGCCCAATCCATTCCTGACCGAACGATGGTGACTGAGGTCTCACAGGGCTTTTTGGACTGCCTCTATAGCACTGAGGTGCCCAAAATACAGAGCAAGCACCATAAGAACCACATGAATGGCAACTCTAAAGCGCACTGAGATTGACTGTCGGGGTCTCCACCCTTAGCTGGCTAAAGGGATGTTCACTCTAATCATCTAATCATTCATTTTCTTCATTCAGTCAACTATTTACAACTAACTATTTTATGTATAAGCCATAGTCACCTGATATTTTGGGATTTGTGACTAAGGAGCGACAGTATCCTGTCTATAAGACTATAGAGACAGGTGCACAAGTATCTGAGAGTCTGTGAAGGGTCTAGGACATATTAATTTAATTTTGGTGACCAGTGAGTGCAGTTTTCCTTGTTTCATTTTGTCAATTTCTTATTTTTAGGACCAGTGCACACCATATGTATTTGATCACATTTCCACTATTATCTTTGGAAGTGTGCCACTTAAACCTCAGGATGCCAGGGCATAAGGTTGTCATTGTTATTGACAGACTGTTTTGACATTTCCCAGGAATTAAATAATGCAGATTAGACCAATATCCATAATACTATCAACATGGATTAATCATGGAGTTAGGATTTTATATATTCGCTATATCTCCTTCTCAGTAGAAACTTGAAAACATAGCAGACTGTTTTCGGATGGTAGTACTGCTCAGGTGAACCTGTATTGCAAATGTTTAGTTTTATTTCTTTCTTTTAAATTCCCCATAACTAGGATAGATTTGATAATCCAGTCTCAAAACATTCTTCTTATTTAAGAGAACATATCTCTCTGGTTTTAAATTACCTGTGGAAAGTGATATCAGGGCAAAACTTAACAAATCCACCCACCAGGTTGTGAAGTTCAACCATATTACCAGGTTCAAATTCCCATCCATTTGGGTTTTCAATTTTCACATTTCATCCTATCTACCTCATATCTAATAGTTCAAATAATTGTACACTTACTCATTGTTTCCCTTTTGTCTAAATCCTGAGAAATGTCATGTAATTGGGCATTTTGATCATCAGTCAATGTCATGCTCCAGGTTATGGTACTCGCTGACAACTGTTTTCAGAGAGCCAAAGACTCCCTTGATTTGTGAGTCTTTCTTTTGTGTGTTATATTTGATTGGGATCTTTGTTCCAGCTTAACTCAACGGAATGATAGCTAAGGCCTGGAACAGCAAGAAGGGAAATTAATTTGTGCATGAAGTCTGTGATATGAGGATCATGATGATGACATGTTACCATGGAAACATCAAACCAGGTCTGGTCAGCAATGTAATCCCTTAAGCACTCATAATATTTGTGACCACTGTGTGTGTTTTTACATTTTAAATCACTAATATAACGTCTCATATTTCAATGTATTTTTTTTATTATTCAGTAATTTCCATGTACTTTTTTTAACCTCTTTTTGGGGTACTTCAAGTAGGAGGTAGGACGGTGTTCTTTTGTATGATAACACTATTACAGTGTAGTCTCAAGAACTGTAACATGCCTTAGGCTAGGACGTAGACGTGGATATTTGTCTTCTAACAGTTACCCTTCTTGCCTAAATGAAGCATTTTAATGTCTTTATGCAATAATCTGTAATTACTGTAACTACTGAAACTGAGGCACCTTGACCTGAATTTTTGAAGCATGGCATGACCTCTACGGTTATGGTTGTATGAAGCACAAAACTAACAGCATTCACCTAAATGCCTTCCACAGACGTCAGGGTGTGTGCTATTAGGTTAACTAGCTACATCAGGGACTAGGCCTCTACCACGTCATGCAGTCCATTTCAATTTTGTCCTGTAATGTTTTTGTTGTTCCTATATAAATCAATAAACCTGGTCTTGGAATAAATATGCTGGTTGTGTAATATATTTACTTTTCTCTGTTTTACAGAACTTGTTTTTGCATTTACTGCACTGCTTTTCCATTATTTTTCTATGTAAAATTCCGTATAAGCCAGCCCTTATAGTTCGACATGAGGCTCTGCGTTCTTTTTCCATTCTTCAGAGCTGCTGCGCATGTTTTAAACTCAACATGTTTTTGTGACATCATTGATTAAACGGTAGGCAAGTGCTTTGACAGATGATTAATTGATTTCACAGTGCCAAAGTTGGCAAATATTCAGTCTAATACAATTCACCGAGGCACTAACCATGCCATCGCTGGGTCACATCAAATGAAAATAAAGGCACCATATATTTACTTCTTAAAAAAAAAAAAAAAAAAAACACTAAGCCATAAAACACAGTAAGGTAATAGGGCTTGACCAGTCTGTTTAGTGTGCTAGCAATTCTCATCTCTGATCTGTAGTACATGTATTGTGAATGTAAAATAATTTAAAAGATGAAATTTCTCCTGACTGTTCCATTAATACTTTTTGGGAAAATATTAGGCGTAACAGGCAGACTACACACAGTCAAAACTGATATGGTGATAACTGTGGTAAATGAAGTTTCACAATATTTTTGGTCCAGTTTTACAGGCTACAGAGGTCGACTGACGAGCTGTCAAGTGAGAGGGTCCATTCAGAGGACAGAGGCCTGATCTATGAAGGTTGCAAGGGTGATGTCACGCTGTGAGAGTCCTCCACATTCATGAGTATTGAGGGTGATCTGAACCTATCAGAGAGAAAACGGGCAGACAGGATACAGTCAACATGAAATCAAAATTAACTGCATTAATTGACCTTCTTTAAAACACATTCCTAGTTTTGTTGACAATTATTCAGTGCAAAAGGAAAATGTCTTCATAATCATCAAAATGTAATTAGTTTCTTCTCTGAAACTTTTATATTTAAAAATATTAATTAGTCTCTCTCTCTCTATATATATATATATATATATATATTCTAAATTATATTATTTACAATATATTTTATTATTAAATATGAATAATTTCTACAATTAATCATTTATTTTATAATATTTTAAAAAAGCACACTACTGCACCCACAGCCATGGCCCCCAATGTATTACAAAATAGTACACTGATGAGCCGTATTATCTATTTACCTTATTATACACGTTAAACCATTCAGGGTGATGATCCATTTTCTCAGCCTGTAGTGCTACTCTGGACATGAACCCAAAAGCCTAAAGGGGAAAGAGCATGTCCTAGCATTGTGCATACACAGTACATAAAAGTATGATGCAAGCCACATGTATATGCATTTTGAAGTATATAACTATAATTTATAGCCTTAGTCTCTCTTGTCAGTTTTAAAGAAGTTATTACCTGGTTGAAGTCTTTGAAGAGGAACTCTTTGTAAATGGCATCCCTCCCCACCTCCTCCACCCACTGAGCATTTCTCATCATGGGCAGAAGGTGCTCCCTCTCCTCCATAGTAAGAGTCTGGATCTTCCCAGCCTGAGTGTTTAAAACAGTTCTGTTAGAAATTATTCTACAATCCCATGTATGTGGGTTTTGTGTACTTTGTAAGAACGTGTCAAATCATGCCATCTCTGAGAGTAAAATGTAGTATGTAGTCTGTGTGTGTGTGTATACACACACACACAGAGAGATAAAAAAATACAGTAAAAACTAATATTGTGAAATGTTTTTGTTGTGTTCAGTTATATTAACTTATTATTACTTTAATTTATAATAATTTCTAATAACTTTAATAATGTGTGTGTGTGTATATACAATGCTGCTTGAAAGTTTGTGAACCCTTTACAATTGTCAATTTTTCTGCATAAATATGACCCAAAACTTCATCAGATTTTCACAAAAATCCTGAAAGTAGACAAAGAGAACCCAATCAAACAAATGAGACAAAAATATTTTCTTTGTCATTTCTTTATTGATAAAAATGACCCAGTGTTACATTTTTGTGCGGTGCAAAAGTATGTGAATCTCTATGATTAGCTGTTAATTTGAGGGTGAAATTAGAGTCCATCTGTTCAGAGGTGTTTTCAAACAGTTGGAATGATTATCAGGTGTCATTGCCTGCCCTGTTTTCTTTAGAGAACAGGGATCTATCAAAGTCGGATAATGTTTGCGGAAGTGTATCATGGCACGAACAAAGGAGATCTCTGAGGACCTCAGAAAAATAGTTGTTGTTGCTCACCAGGCTGGAAAAAGGTTATAAAATCATCTCTAAAGAGTTTGGACTCCACCAATCCACAGTCAGACAGATTGTGTAGAAATGGAGGAGATTCAAGACCACTGTTACCCTCCCCAGAAGCGGTCGACCAACAAAGATCACTCCGAAAGCAAGACGTGTAATAGTCTGTGAGGTTGCAAAGGAACCCAGGGTAACTTCTAAGCAACTAAAGGCCTTTCTCACATTGGCTAATGTTAATGTTCATGAGTCCACCATCAGGAGAACATTGAACAACCATGGTGTGCATGGCAGAGTTGCAAGGAGAAAGCCACTGATCTCTAAAAAGAACATTGCTGCCCGTCTGCAGCTTGCTAAAGATCATGTGGACAGGCCAGAGGACTATTGGAGAAATGTTTTGTGGACAGATGAGACCAAAATATAATTTTTTGGTTTAAATGAGCAGCGTTATGTTTGGAGAAAGAAAACACTGCATTCCAGCATAAGAACCTCATCCCATCTGCGAAACATGGTGGTGGTAGTATCGTGGTTTGGGCTTGTTTTGCTGCATCTGGTCCAGGACGACTTACCATCACTGATGGAACAATGAATTCTGAATTATACCAGCAAATTCTAAAGGAAAATGTCAGGATATCTGCCCGAGAACTGAATCTCAAGAGAAAGTGGGTCATGCAGCAAGACAACGACCCCAAGCACACAAGTCATTTTACTAAAGGATGGTTAAAGAAGGACAAAGTTAATGTTTTGGAATGACCGAGTCAGAGTCTGGACCTTAATTCAATTGAAATGTTGTGGAAGGAGCTGAAGAGTTCATAGGAGGAAACCCATAACATCACAGAGTTGAAGTGGTTCTGTACTGAGGAATGAGCTAAAACTAATACAAGATGTTGTGCAGGACTTATCAGCAGTTACAAGAAACTGTACCTGCAGTTACTGCTGCAAAATTGGGTCACACCAGATGAGAGCAAAGATTCACATACTTTTGCACCACACAGAAATGTAACACTGGGTCATTTTTCGCAATAAATATTTGCATATTTATGCAGAAATATAGACAATTGTAAAGGGTTCATAAACTTTCAAGCAGCACTGTACATAAATATATTATTTAAACTATTATTATAATAATTATATTGAACATACTTAGATATAATCATTACTTGTTAATAGAACAGACACATTTGAACAGTTTTGCAAACACTCACACTCTTAAACAACCATTCCAAGGGGGATGTTTCGGAAAAAAAGCACTGTGATTGGTTGTTGTGAAGCCCATATGGAAACAATGATGACTTGTATTTTTTTTTTTTTTTTTAAGAGCTTCCACCACATTCCTGTGGTGGTTGGAGTAATGAAATTCCTAAACTACTTAACTCTTCCCTTTTGCCCTTTCAGCAAAGATCACATGGGCTTTAAACACGTGTTACAATAAGACATTAAAATATACATTTATAAAAAGGTAACTGACCTGAAAATATAGACTTTTTATATAGGCTTGTGCAAAACTTTGTAATAAATTTTGTGCACTTTTAATTGAATGAAAGGGAAAGTAAGTTGATTTGTGTCAGCATTTTCTTTTGTCCTATCCACACACTATTGTCCTAGACCAGGGGTGCCCAACCCTGCTCCTGGCTCATCGACTGTCCTGCAAAGTTTAGCTCCAACCCTAATCAAAGACTCCTGGATTTAATTTTTAAGTGATGCTGAAGACCCTAATTAGTTGCATCAGGTGTGTTTGATTAGGGTTGGAGCTGAACTTTGCAGGACAGTCGATCGCCAGGAGCAGGGTTGGGCACCCCTGTCCTAGACTGAACCATCAGTATATTGTACGGTGACCGAGAAGTGCAAAACAAATCACAATTATGAAAACAATACAACAAATTACAAACGCAAATACAAGTCTAAAAAACTAAATAACAATTCAGAAAACACAACAACAATTCAGAAAACATTATAACAAGTCAGAAAAAACAAATTAACAAGTCAGAAAACACAAAGACAAATCAGACAAACTGGAAGAGGTAGGTATAGTTTGAGACAGCGCCATTGGTTTGGGATTACTCACCGCTGACTGGACGAGACATCTGTCAATCAACGTATACAGGAAGAACCAGCCGAAGAACAGCAGAGTCGTGGTAGAAAGTTCGGAGATAGTATTAAAGTAGCTCAGTTTAAATGTATTGTATGAATTGCCTTTACTAAGCAAAAAAAAATATGGAGTGTCTATTTATACTTAGTTATAAGTGGCTTTAAAACATCAGCTCCAGTGGCGCAGATGGAAAAGGGTGTGTCCTTGGTTTTTAGACGCGATCGACCCGGGTTCGATCCTGCCTTTTGCCAAACTTTTTTCCCTCCCTTTTCAAATCTCAAATTGTGATTTGTTTTGCACTTCTCGGCCACCGTAATATTGCGTCAGAATGCCTGTGCAAATGATGCAAAACACGTCAGTCATAATGAAGCTCCAACACTGATAAAGCTGACTGACATCAACAGGTCTCTTAGCAACAGTCTAATCTGCAGAACTAATGCTGCTGCACGAACAGACACGGCTCGAAAAGAAAGCGAAGTAAAACCATGATTGTTCTATTAAAAAGATTAACAGTGCGAAATATGTTAATGACAACATGCGCACAATAGAATATGCTTTTAAAATCTACACGAACAGGGTTATATGGCAAAACCCGGAATCGGCAAAAAGTCCTTTACTCGATTGTCTAAAAATTGTTAGTTCAAGTGAATGGAAATCGTATAATAGACAATAAAACGTCAGATTAAAAATAATAATAATTGAATGTGAAAATAAAAAATAACACCATACCTGCCCAGCCATTTCCAATATATTTGAGGCATTTCGTTTGTGGCAATGTAATGCATTTATTTGCAAGTTTGAGAGTTATGCACAAAGTGGCTGTTAATCCACGTACGATAAGAATAATAAAAGTAAAAAGGTTTTTATATGTTTTTTTTCTTACCATGGTGTCGGTGCTGTGCGTGTAAAGCTGATATTGTCTCGTGCAAGCAGCTGGATTCATTGATTTCAACCTGAGTCCAGAGCGCGAGTTTACGAATCCTACAACGGTGAAGGGACGTCTAATTAATATTAACTATTGCGTGATTGGACGCTGCCAGGTAACGTCAGCACGTACTATTGAATATTAATGATCCTTGCTCTTGCTGCTGCGGTTGGGCTGCCCTGCCAAAAGCCTGACCAAAGTAGGAATGTGTTTGAGATTCCAGACAGTGAGAGAGTATAATATGTACAAGCTGGACACAGATGAAAGAACTTGTCAAACAATCATGCAGATCGGATAAAAAACAATGACTTCTAATAGCAAGAATCTGTTCAGGAAAAATGCGTGCCGTTTAATGTTAATATGCCCGACAGAATGTGGTACAACAGGAAATTATCCCTCTTAATTAAAAGGATTCGTCCAGTGCCGCACACACACATGATAAGTCCTTATTTTTTTGCCTCTGCTTTTTCACCTAAGATAATATTATTTTGATCAAGATCATTTATGTTCTTCTTCTTTTCTACATTTACTAAACGTAACATGTTTGGGATACAGATCATTGTGATTTGTGCCTTTTATGAATATGAAGTATCATCCTCATACATGCAGTTTCTCGCTGTGTTCTTTATTCTTTTTATCTAGCACATGTCCCCATCTTTCCTATCTTTGGTCAATCATCTTACGGCGGTGAAGTTTGACGTTTGACTCATTAGACATTCTTTTTTTTTTTTTGCCAGTTAAACTCTTTGCGGCTGTTATATTTTGAGCCCAAACTAACTCAGATAGACATAAATATATGCCCTTTACGTTGCACAAGGCTTAATTTCTAGGGGGGGGGGGTGTTAAAAAAATTATTTTAACCATTTAAATTAATTAAAAATTTAACCACGTGACATTATAATATAAAACCAATACTAAAATGTTATTGCACAAAGCTCCGTTTTTGGAATTACCATTTTATGTGTTATATAATAATTTTACAACTTTTATTGTATGCAGTAATATAAATCCATTAAACGACAACACCATTTGATCTAAAGGTATCAAACCAACTGTAAAATATTCAGAATATTATTCAGTATAATGCACAAGGCTTGGTTTTTCAGATTATGCCTTTATTGTTTTTATATACTGTACTGAAACCATATTTTTCATTTTTTATATACTGTACCCACTTAAATTAATTAAACTCTGACACCGTTTGAGATAAAGGTATCAAAGCTACTGTAAAAATCTATAAATATTATTCCCTATAATGCACAAGTTTGTTTTTCCAGATTATGCCTTTATTGTTTTTATATACTGTACTGAATCCATATTGTTCATATGTTTAATATACTGTACCTACTTAAATTCATTAAACAGTGACACCCTTTCAGATAAAGCTATCAAACCAACTGTAAAAGTCTTTAAATAGTATTCCCTATAATGCACAAGATTCGGTTTTCAGATTATTAATCTGTTTTGTTTTTTTGACAGTACTGAACCCATTTATATCCATGAAACTTAAACCCCATTTAAGATAAAGATATCACCAACTGTATATTTTTCAGCTCATTAGTCTGATGTTTTTTATATAGAGTACTGAACTTTAAATTTTTTTAGACAGTCCTGGAACCCATTTCATTATATTAAACTGGAAGACCATACATACATGCATATATGTATGTATATATATATGTATGTACATACACACACACGCACACACACACACACACACACACACACATATATATATATATATATATATATATATATATATATATATATATATAAATTCATGTAAGTGGGTACAGTATATAAAACATATGAACAATATGGATTCAGTACAGTATATAAAAACAATAAAGGCATAAGCTGAAAAACCAAGCCTTGTGCATTATAAGGAATAATATTCTGAATATTTTACAGTTGGTTTGATACCTTTAGATCAAATGGTGTTGTCGTTCAATGTTTAATTTATATTATTGCATACATTTAAAGTTGTAAAATTATTATAAAACACATAAAATGGTAATTCCAAAAACGGAGCTTTGTGCAATAACAGGGATTTTTTCCCGAACATTTTATCATTGGTTTTATATTATAATGTCATGTAGTTAAATTGTTTAATTAATTTAAATGGTGTATTTTTAAAGATTTTCCCCAATAAATGAAGCTTTGTGCAAAGTAAAGGGCATATATTTACAGTATGTCTATCTGAGTTTGGGCCTGTGTTCACCTGTGTTCTGTTGATCAAGTCATTAGTCCTTTGTTTGCGTTAGTATAAATACTCCCCGTTCTGTTCTTTATGTTGCCGGTTACTGATGTTGATTTGCTTGTGTTTGGATGTACTCCTCTTCAGAATTATCAGTAAAGTCCTTGTTGGATTATTCTTTGTCGTGCACTTTGTATTGCACCAGCACCCGTGACAATGTACAGGCTGAACGTCAATGCATTAGAAGTTTTGTGAGCAATATAAACCTTTATGTAATATCTCATACAAACCTGTAGAGCCAGCTTGAATGGTTAAAAATGTCATTAAATAAATACAATTAAATGACAGCTATCGGCCTCTTCTACAGTGTCTTTATCAGCCCCTTGCCACAGTTGGGAATGGTCAGAGCAATATTTCTGTGGTGGTGAGCACACAATTCACACTGACTCTAAAAATCGCACCTGTGGATGGAAACGGCACTCTGTGCAGGTAAGAATCACCTTGAACTACACCTCAACTTGCTAATTAACATAAATATATTATACTATTATAACTAACATCATTCTAAATAATGATCCTTTTTAACTGAAGAGTTTTCAATAACCCTGCTTAAATCAGGTACAGAAGGACCTTACATAGGCTAGATATCGCACTAATAGCAGCCGATTGCATTTGAAGTCACTGAGACTATTTAAGACCATGTGTTTGAATGAGGCCTGGCTTTAGTGCTGCCCTTTAGAGAATACCTCACTATGCATTGATCGCACTGCATTTTGGGGTTAACAAGCTGACACTGGAATAATGATGAAAAAGACCATTAAAACATTAAAGCTTGGGGGGCCTCTCACAAACCCCAGCTGGGATGTTGGAAGGAGGAGACCTTAGCAATATTTACAAACATCCTGGGCCTCAAACAGTCATCCAGGTTTGAGCCTTTTTCAAATAGGTTGTCGGGGGTGTCTGATTTCATAAGACAAGTCACAGTATCTCTCCCACCGTATGGCTGGTGTCTAGTCTTCTTTAAGATCAATACTGAGGTCCCTTTCCAGACTGAGCCATTATCGATTTACCTTCTCCCCCAAAGAACGTGCTGGGCACTATATGTCATTCCCAGGATAATCAATATGGGCTTATAGTGAACAATTTGGGGGATGAAAAAGGTGAAATGGGTTCAAAAGTTGCAGTTCACTCTGTTCCCCTCTAGATGGCCCCCTTCACCCTCTTGTATGTCATTGTTTATTTTTCCAACTTGCTCTCCATGTTGCTTCAAAGAGGCATTTATATATACAATACAATCATAAAATACAAAAATATTGGCGGTGAACAATATAAATCAACTTGGTTTTTGTAAATATAAGGTGAGTTGATTTTTGGGCTACTTTAGGTAGACAGTTACATGACAGGTTTCTTAAATCAGGCAGCAAACAATTCATGGTTAACAGGAAAACAACAAATTCATAAATCTGAAAATGCTAGTGATGTGTAAAGAGTGAAAGCTTTTTAAACAAAACATTAAAAATTCAATAACCATCATGACTATAAGGATGTGATGGATGGATCAGTGTTTTATTACATGTTGATGACATTATTTCTCCCTAGTCTGAGTCAGACATTTGAGGAAGCTGGCCATTATTCTCTCTGGATGAGGCAGTCTGAACTGCTAAATGATGTAACCTGTTCTCTCACTGTGGATAGGAGTCCGAATAATGCATACCTGCGTAAGTATGCATCTTGTGTAATTAAAAACATTAAATAAGTCATCAGAAAGACATGTATTGAGTTCCGAAGTTCAGCAGGAAAGCGCTTTTCTCCTATCCCAAGAGTCAGATGAGACTGTATTGATCTGCTAAACTGCTCGTTTCTTGAAAAAAAAAAAAAACAGCTCAAAGAAAAGCTTTTCTGCCATGTTTGTTTTGGAAGATGCCCTGGGAGGGGAGCATTGTGGGAAATACATTAGAGGAGCGTGAGGGATTAAAGCATAATGGGGTTTTGAAAGCACCACGCTCCATAATGCGCCGTCTACTTTGCAATAGTGCAGATTATGTTGTAGATCAGACTTTTAAGGGCAAGTAGCAATTATCTGTCAGATATATGGCCAGTGTGACTAAACACCCTGCATATGATGAGCTTCCATTAGCTGGACTGGCTGGTGATTACACTGCAGCTCCAAAGGGCTCTCACAACTTAAGTGATGGTGCTAGTGATCAGCAGATGTTAAGAAGAACTGATGAGGACACAGTGGGGGAAAAACGAGTCTGTTTTCAATTGAATTGCACTAACCAGGAGTGATGACGTTATTGTTTTTTTGCTTTTTTCCCAGACTGATATTTCACGGCTTTCTCGGTCTGAAAAATAGAAACTCTGACCTCAGTCTTGGGTCTGTGATGAATACAATTGGTAAATTATACAAAACATACAGTAATTGGTCTGCTTAACCTTAAACTCCAATTAAAATTTGGACCGCACTGTGCAAATTAGAGTACCTTTTAAATGTTGCTGAAGCAACTTAAGCAATTAGTGTCGCATAAATTACTGTGAAATAAAAGTAGTATAATTTACTGAGGATAATTGGACAGTGATGATCAGCATTAATTGTATTACTTTTCACTACAAATAAACACATGTCAGTAATTGTCCTCAAAGCTTAGTAACTTGATTACAGTAAGGATTTTCAAACATTTTGATGACTTGGACACCCAAATACGACCAAAATAAAAGGGATTTATGTATTTTCAGGTATAAAGACCAATTTTACTGTGTGCATAAAATATTATGTTTGATATTATAGAGATAGCATGCCTCTAAAACTAAATAATTCGCTTTCTTATTGTACTAAAGGCACAGCAAATTGTAGGTCGTAAGAATGAACC